AGGCTGGACAGGAGAGAGTTCCAGCCCAGCCTGGGCTATTTAGTGACTTAATGAGGCCTTTCTCAAAACAAAAAATTAAAAAGCAGGCAGAGGGTGTAGCTCAGTGCAAAAGCTCTAGGTTTAATTCTCATTACAAGAAAGAAAGAGGAAAAGAGAGAAAGGAAAATAAGGAAGAAAGAAAGGAAGGAAAACAAGAAAGAAAGAGGGTGTCTCGGTCACTCTTCTCTCATTGCTGAGACAAATACCTGGCACCCAAAAGGAAGCAAGGAAATGTTTATTTACCTCACAATTCCTGGGGCTTTCAGTCCATACTCCGCTAGCTCTAAGGCAGTGTGGCACACGGCACAGGGCAGCCGTTCATGGTGGTGGAAGGCAGCGAACAGCAAGAGCAAAGCGGAGGAGTAACAGCAACAATGGCTGCAGAGAGCCAGTCTGTCTCCCTTAAATTGTATGAGGTCATCCACCCCAAGCTGGGTGTAGAACTCACGCCCGTAATCCCAGCAGCACTCTTACCCATAATCCCAGCTGCACTCACACCCATAATCCCAGTGGATCATGGGTCAATCACAAACTCTAAAAGTCCATTCCATGACTGCGTGAGGGTTTGGAGGGACAACTACACACAAACCATAGCAGAGAGAGAAAGAAAGAAGGAACCCAAGAAGATTGAAGTACCAATCACACGGGGTATATTCCAAGTTGTACAGGAAAGGAGATGCAATAGGAATTTGCTCCTTGAAGATGCACCCAGGATCCTTCCCTCAGGAGGCTGAGGCAGGAGGATTGCCTTGACTTGGACATTTTGAGTCCAGGCTGCACTACATAGTGAGTTCAAGACCAGCCTGAACTGGCAGATGACACCGACGCATCACTGGGGCAGCGTTTGTAAAAAATAATGCTTTAGCCGCCTATGTCCCCTGGAGTCCATTGGGAATACAAAATAAACGGCATGGGAGGGTGTGTGGCAAGACGGGCCCTCTGCCCTGCTTCACCCGCTGACGCAAACTTCTTTGGAGGGAGCTGCCCATCTACCTGCCACATTTCCACCAGGACCCTCCCTTGCTGACCTCTGTACTCCCCGCAGTGCTGCAGAGAGGACCAGCCCACATGCAGGACTGCCCTTGGAAGGGCTTGCTGCCCCAGGAAGCCCAGGGATTGAAGCTAGGATCTTCATGCTGAGCGGCACCCCTGGCATCCCCCCTCTTTTTTTTTAGTTTGACAGAGTCTGTCTTAAGTCACCAAGTTGCCCAAGCTAGACTTGAACCTGCGCTGCTCCTGCCTAGCCTCTCACAGTGCTAGGGTTACAGGCGTACACCACCATGCCAACCCAGCTTGTTGTCTTCAAAAGCATCAAGTGCAGTTCCCTGTGGGCCAGGCAGCGGACTGCTCCACATCATCCTCTCCTTTTCGCATCAGTCATGTTTGTGCCATTTAAGACCACTCTGTGTGTGATAGAAACCCAACGTGAATCAGCTTCGGACATACCGTGCTCCTAACTCTGGAGCACTCTGCTGCCCCTTTAGGGTACGAATGTGTCCCCCGAAGTTCACGTCAGAAATCTCATCTCCAAATCCGCGCTTCAGTGGTATTGGGAGGCGAGGGTTTTGGGGGGCTCAGCAGGATTAGGTGCAGCCATAAGGGGGGAGGCCCCAGTCCAACAGCAGGATGCGGCCAGAAGATGCCTGCCCGGCTGTGGAGCTCACAGCCCCAAAGCTGTGAGCCAAGTGGATCTCTGTTGCTCAGGAATTCCCAGCTCAGTTATACAACAGAAGTCGGGCTGGGTCGTATGGCGGAGGCAAACGCGGCAGCCCTGCTGCTGGAAGCCTAGCATAAGAAGGGACCTGACACCCGCAAAGATGTCAAGTGAAGGTACAGGCGCCTTCCGTTTCTTCCCTCTGCCTTCTTCTGTGGCTTAGTTATTCTTTCAGGATGGATTCCTTTGAGGTACCAGATGTCCCAAGATGCCCTGCGTATCACTTCAAGACACTGCTAAGTCCTGAGACAGAAGCAGCCCCGTGTTTCTGTGGCCAGCCTTTAAGTCAATCAGAAGAAACAGAAATGGTAACAATATCCAGTCAGAGGAAAAAGAAATGCCGTCACTAGAAGTCCCCTGGGCCAATCACGGCCTGCCTTTAATTTTTTTTTTTTTTTAATTTTAGGGAAGGGTCTACAGGGTGTTCAGGGTCTCACTACTAGACTGGACTTATAGTGATCCACCTGTTTACAGCCTCCCTAGAGCTGGGATTACAGGCGCACGCCACCACGCCCAGTCTCCATTGGTGTCTCGGTGTGCCCAGGGGCAGGTCTGGCAGGGCAGGCAGGGGGATCAAGATTTTTTTTTTTTAATCTTGTATTTATTTATCTGGTAAAGGGTCTCCCTACGCAGTCTTCCCAGCGCTGGCATTACAGGCATGCACCACCACGCCCTGTCTCAGTGGCCGGTAGGATGCGCCTGGGTTCTTTTTTTTTAAATTTATTTATTTTATTTATTTATTTATTTATTTATTTATTTATTTATTTGTGTGTGTGTGTGTGTGTGTGTGTGTGTGGCCAGCTCAGCCCACCAGGAGGGGGGCTGGCTGGCATGTGGTGCTGGGGGATTGAACCGTGGTCCCTGTGCTTTGCTAAGCTTGTTCTAAGTAGGTGCTTTAGACCACTGAGCCATCTCTCCAGCCCCACGCCTGGGTTCTGAGACCGGGACGGCACACAGTACTGGGAATCAAACCCAGGTCCTTGGTCATACCAGGCAAGTGCTTAGACCACCTTGCTATCTCCCCAACCCAAGTCCAGGGCCTGTCTTTATGCTAAAAGTGGATGTGGCATCTACCTGCCAAGAAGAGGCAGGTGCCCAAGCATACACAGGTCCTGTGATAAGGGGGCAGAACAGATGGCAGCCGTGAAAGTTGGTGCATATGTGTATGTACGCGTGTGTGCGTGTGTGTGCCCGAGGTGTATGCGGCGCAATAAGTCTTGGTCGGCTAGATACAGATCAGCTCATTTCCTCCTTCAAGAATGCCTTGAAGGCGCTGTCTGTTCATTTCCTGAGGCTGTAGTAACACACAGCCAGAAGCCTAGAACTTCTTTGCTCACTGGTACGGAGGCGTGAAGTCTAATCTACCCACGGACAAGGCCAGGGCCTGGGGAGGAGCCTGCATGGTCTGTCCTCCACAGTTCAGGCATCCCTCGCTGCTGCCGTCCTGCATGGCCCCAGCTTGGCCTCCGTCTTTGTGCGGGCTTCTCCCTGGGTCTGCATGCCCTCCGGGTCTGCCTCTCCACCACCTTGTCTGCTTCAGGATGCCAGCCCAGGGCTCAGAGCCCACCGTAAGCCAGTATGCCGTGTTCTTCACTTAATGTGTCTGCAAAGGCCTTCTTTTCAAATAAGGCAACATTTGCAGGCACTACGAGTTAGGACTTAGACATATCTTTTTGGGGGATGAAACTGGATCCGGTGCAGAAGAGCCTATTTTTATCCCTGACTCACCAGGAGGAAATTTCACTGAGAAATTTTAAATAGCTACTAAGTAGTGTTGATGTCCTTGGGCCCAGATAGTTCCCTTTCTGAATCCTAGCCTCACAAGCATATGCCACACTGATAAAATACATGGTGGAGTCACGGAGAGCTGTGACCTAGTAATTAATTACTTTATTTATGAGACAGGGTCTCTTTAAGTTGCCCAAGCTGGCCTTGAACTTGCCATCTTCTTGTCTCAGCCTCCCGAGTAGCTGAGATTTACACGTGTGCCACCAGGCCTGGTCCAAATCATTATAGTTTTGTAGCTGTCAAATGGTGGCCAAATGCATTTCGCAAATGTTTGATACAGGGTCTGCCTGTCTACTTTAGGTTGCCCTTGAATTTACTGCATAACCCAGGCTGTCCTCAAACTACTGATTCTCCTGCCTCAGCCTCTCAAGGAGGACTGTCATGACAGACGCGTGCCACCCCCCCCCCCAGCTCTACAAATATCTATTGAGCATCTCTTGTGTGTCCTTGTTTCTGCGAGACTTCTCATTGCTGTGCTGAATACAGCAGTCACCAGGGCTGGTCTCCCTGCTCCTTCGAATCTGGGACATTTTCCTCCTGGTGAGAAATGAGTCATTGGAAGCATGCTGTCTTATTCAGCACTTTTCTTCTCCTAGAGCTCAAAAGTGATCACTCAGTTTCTCCCATGCGGAAACCAACTGTGCGATCAATACGTAACATAAAATTAACCTCGCTGGCAATACCCGCAGTTTTATTTTTGTTTGCTCATGGCGAAAGAAGCCTTGGTGTGAGAACAACGCGAGAGGTTGTGACTTCGTGACACGGTGGCAGGTGGTGTGGCTGGAGTCAGTGTAGGGTGCTCCAGGGCCGGTCTTGACGGATGCTACGTCCCCAGATCAAGCATCTCAGGTAGGATCCAGCACAGGGAAGCTGAGAAGCAAATGCCATCAGTGCTGACACGTTGATTTTCTTTAGCAGAGCTTGGTTCCAGTAGGCGCTGCCAAAGAACCTCATGGGAGTCCACTGTATATTACCCGTGTCTGCTCAGAAGGTTCTGGTCCATAAGAAATCTGCCAAAAGAAAGCTTATGTTATTTTCTACACCTCTTGAGGACTTGACAAATGCTCCATCCATGTTCTTAATTTTTTCTTGTGCTTTCTTAAAGCCAGATGAGCAGCCATTAGTTCTTATTCCTGATACAAAATTCTCTTATATGCAAACGGAGGGGGCCAGGGAGGTAGCTCAGCAGCAAATGCAAAGTCCAGAGTTCAATCCCCTGGTACTGAAAATAAACAAGCTAAAGGAAAATAAAAATTTAAGAATGGATGGAATGGGACTCAAGCTGTAAGGCCAGGATATGCCTTGGCCTGTGAGGCTAGTGGTAGTTCTCATCCAGAGCCCAAATAGTTGGGGGCAAACATGGTTTGCTTTGGAACTGGAATATGGAGAGAAAATGACTTCACTGCAAGTGTTGGATCGTCCCTGGAATTCTAGAATCCAGCACTAATCGTGTGACCCAACCATCATACCTGGAGACGGAGCTTAGAGAAATGAAAACTTAGCTTCCGATAAACTCCTACGCATGCATTTGTTATAGCCTCAACCCCACCAGTATCTGATATAACTTCAACTCCCCAGCATCCTCCAACAGGTTAGAAGTGGCACTGCCACCACAGGGAACATGACCAGCTACAGAAAGGAACGTACTGGGACCGAGTATGTAGTTCAGCAAGGGAGCATTTGCCTGGCATGCGTGAGGCCTTGGGTTCCTGTGTGTGCTAAATAAATAAAGCAGAAGGTAAAGGAGCAAACTGTCGACAGGCATAGAAACCCGGATGAATCTCAAAGGACTTACATGGGGTGTAAAAGCCAGCCCTGATAGGCCCGGTGCTGAGTGACCCCCATACTGAGTAATCACTGAAATAGAATGACAGAGGAGAAGAGATGACTTGCTTCTAGGAGCGATGGTAAGATTCGAACTCAAATGTCCCTAAAGGGCCAGCTGATAAGCTTTTGAGAAATGATTGGAGCGTGATGACTGCAACAGCACTGAGGGAGCCATATGTTGATGAGGTCCTGGTAGAAGGGGCCGCTGGGAAGAGGGGCCCGCTGAAGGCAGTGGGCCCCAGGGGTGCAGGTCTGGGGACGACTCCCTGTCCTCCGCTTCTTCTGCTCTGGTGCTTTGGCTGTCTTCGCTGCCAGCTCCCTTGAGAGGAGCAGCTCTGCTCCACCACGCCCTTTCACCTCGATGTTCTCCTGCTTCCCTTCTGGCCCAGCAACAGCAGTGTCTGCCTACAATGGACTGAACTCTCTGCAGCTAAGAGTGCCACCTCCCCCCCCACCAAAAAGAAATCCTTCCTCTCTTTTCATTTGACTTTTTCTGAGGTATTTTTGCTCACAGCAACAGAAATCTCACTGATTCAAGGCAGTATTATTCCCTAGAGTTGTGCAAAGCTAAAGCCATCTCCCAAATGCACAGAACATATGAAATAGGTAGACGGTCTCTAGACTAGCTGTGTCATGGCGAGGTTGAATTCCCAGTTTGGATATGCACTACAGCTACATACGATACTAGGACTGGGAAATTCTCTGTACTATTCTTGCGATTTCCCATGAGTCCATGATTATTTTCAAGTCAGAAGTTTAAAAAAATTAGTGGAAAAAATATTGGTCCCTAAGGAAATCATGAAAGAGATTAAATGAGTTTCTTCACATGCCTCGATGCAAATGCTCACTGAGCAACAGATGGCAACTTCTGTCTTTCCACCTTCTTAAGAGGAAAGGGTTTGGGAAGTGATGTTAAGAAACGTGATTAGCTATGTGCTGCGCAGGTTCAGGGGCCCCTTGGGCAGCTTCCTGAGAGCCCACACTGAAAACAAACAAGTGGGTTGGGGTGTAGCTCAACAGCGGAGTGCTTGTCTAGCATACAGGAGGCCCAGCATCCTCAATATTCAATTCTCAGGAGAGAGAGAGAGAGAGAGAGAGAGAGAGAGAGAGAGAGAGAGAGAGACAGAGACAGAGACAGAGACAGAGAGAGACAGAGACAGCGACAAAGAGAGAGACAGAGAGAGAGAGACAGAGAGAGACAGAAACAGAGACCCAGAGACAGAGAGACAGAGAGAGAGAGAGAGACAGAGACAGAAACAGAGACAGAGAGACAGAGACAGAGAGACAGAGACAGAGACAGAAAGAGACAGAGACAGAGACAGAGACAGAGACACAGAGACAGAGACACAGAGAGAGACAGAGGCAGAGACAGAAAGACAGACAGACAGACAGACCCGCAGACAAAAGAGAATGAAAGTGAGATGCAAAAGCTCTGGTCCTTTGACTACCTTTGTTAGGTATATGACTGAGCAGAAATGAGCTCTTCCCGGTCCAGTGGTCAGACCTGTTTGTCACCCAGGAAAGCCAGAAAGAGACAAATGGTGGCTCTGAAGTCAAGGCAAGTTCAATCCCGCCCTTCTCCATCCTTGGCTCCTGATGAGCCCAGAACGCCTCTGTTCCCTCTGCTGATGAAAGGCGAGCACTCTCCCTTCTCCGATGGGTGTGTTCAGCTATGTATTTATTTCGCAGCAGTGGGGGTGGAGCCCAGGCTCACTCACGCCAGGCAAATATCCCATCACGAGCTACTCCCCAGCTGACAGTTTCAGCGCATATGTATACTGCACCATAATTTTTTTAAAAAAAGGGAACACGGCGTCCTGGGGCTGTTTTTGAGACAGCAGATCACTTGCATGGTGTGGACTGGAGCCAACAAGACCAGGTGTGGAAGGTGCAGGAAAAACCCTCTGACTTGGGAGCAGGAGGTACATGGCAGTGGGGGACTGGAGGCAGCCTGTAGAGCTGGGTGGCGGCATGGCTGTGGCACCCGGGAAGAGGGAGAGGTGGGCACAGCATGGACATCCGGTTTCGGCCCTGGGTCATCAGGGGCCAGCAACACTGGAGAACAGCTTTTCTCTTTGCCACTCTCTTCTCCCATAGGACGGTGTGGGCTTCCACATGATGCCCAGCTGCTTCTCCGAAGTACTCCGGCCTCTGCCCTAGAGACAGATAGGCCCTCGCGGAGAAAAAGAAGCGGTCCCTTGCACTCTGTGTGTCCAATTAGCGGCTGCAGAACCATTTTCCACAGTGGTAGAACCACTTACAGTCTCATTCATTTCTAATGCAAAAAATGGTTTCCAGGGCTGGGGAGATGGCTCAGTGGAATAAGGGCTTCCCTGACAAGCACAAGGGCCTGAGTTCAATCCCTGGTTCTGCAAAAAAAAAAACAAAAAAACCAAAAAAGAAACAAACAAACAAACAAAAAAACCCAATTTCCAGCTTCTCACAGGCAGTGTCGGTATTGGTAAATCAATGCTCAACAGTTTTTTTCCTAGGTAATTACATAGATGGTGTTTTTTTTTTTTTTCTTTTGTATTCTAGGGAAGGGTCTACAGGGTGTTCAGGGACTTACTATTAGATCGGACTCTAGTGATCCGTCTGTTTACAGCCTCCCAAGTGCTGGGATTACAGGTGCATGTCACCACGCCCAGTCCCAATTGCTGTCTCAGCGAGCCCCAGGGGCAGGGCCGGCACAGCAGGTCTGGGGATCGAAACTCTGGCCCCTGCACCTGCTTGGGGGTGCTTTAATCCACTGAGCTATTTGGCCGGCCCTCATAGAAGGCTTCATGTATGTGGCTACAGAAGCCTACTGCAAGCATGTTTAGAACAATTTTACTGACCGTCACGGTCCAGCAATAACAGAAGGCTTAAATAAGCAAAGGTACAACCGGGAAAGGAGGGCTACTCAGCCAGTGTTACGGTTTGTGTGTATTTGTCCCTCCAAAGTCTCATGCAGTCATCGAGACACAGTTCTACAGTTTGTGATTAATTCATGAGCCAAGGCTGGGATTATGGGTCTGAGTACTGCTGGGATTATGGTGATATAAGGACGTGAAATTCCCAACTTGGCCTGAATGAGTTCGTGTTCTCTACAACTGAAGAATGAATTTTAGGAACAAACGGAGGCTGAAGGTAAAACTTTATTGGAAAGGAAAGCTTCTGTTGGAGAGGGACAGAAGGGGGTCCCAAGCGGGTTGCCCAGGAAGCTGTCTCCTTCAGGTTATTTTTATAGGACAAAACCATGCGGGGCTAAGGTAGAGACAAAGCGTCCCACTTAGGCAGATACAGGGTGGGACAAAACTATGGTCAACCAATGGGATTACAAGCACCATTGCTCAGGTAAAATTTATTAGGCCTAGGACCAAATGGGGTAGCGAGTCACATAGCAAGTGGGCGACCTTATCTGGTGGCCTTCAGTCGATGATTCTTCCCGACTAATGAGCAATCCTGGATGCCAACTTTAGGGAGGTCAGCATTTGATCTTTAGGTGTGGCTCACACCAGGAGCATCTCCCCAGTAAGCTGTCTGGTCTTTGTCATCCCCTTTGAGGGCCTGTCCTTGTCTAACTACCTATGATATTTCTATCTAATCAGGCTGCCTGCAACAATGGGTGTGAGTGCTATGCCCAGCCTGGGGCGGATAGCCTGAATGTAACTCAAGAGAGACAGAGAGACAGACTTGCTCTTCGTTGCCATTGTCGCTGCTATTCCTCCCATTTGCCCTTGCTCTTTGCTGTTTTCCACTGCCATCAATGGCTGCCCTCTGCCATGTACCAGTCTGCCTTGGAGCCAACTGAGTGTGGGCTGAAACCTGCAGTAACTGTGAGCAAAGTAGACCTTTCTTTCCTTCATTTTAGGTGTCAGGCATTTGTCCCAGCCATGAGAGAAGTGTAACTGAGACAGCCATGAAAAGAAATGGACAACCCAGGCATGCAACAACGTGCAAAGATGGATTTCCAGACCACCGAGCTGCAGGGTGAGAAGCCAATCACAGAGGTCACCACTATGATTATAGGAAATTCCAGAGAAGGCACATTTAGTTTTGAGGGGCAGCAGGCAGACCCGTGGTTGTCCGGGCCCCATGGAGGAGCGGCGAGAAACACACAAAGAGCTCTCATACAGTGGGAGCAGTCTCTGTTTTGATGGGGTGTGGGTTGTGAGGGAGGACCCATTGTACAAATGGACCCAAATGTCTGCCGGACCCATGCCTGCCCCACGGTGAGCCAAATGTCAGCTTTTTGTGCTTAAAAGGTCATCTCTGTGCTTCTAAGTAAGAAGGTGGCGTGTGTAAGTCCTAGGCCTGTGCGGGAGCCCGATGCTGCAGAGCGTGCGCACACTGTAGGCGGCACTCGTTGGCAGTGTTTCCTTCCATTTTTCTACTTTACAATTATTTCATTAAAAAAAACAAAACAAAACAAAACCACCCTGTTTGGGATTATGGCTCTTCCAATGATTAAAAATGCTGATGTGTTCGAGTACTTGGGTACAAATACTCCTGTCACCAGTCTTGGGTACTCAACAAGTAAAATCAGCTTCTTGAGTCTAAGTTAAGGCACATTCAGCTATTGATCTGTGATAAAGGGGCCCAAAATTCACATTGGAGGAAAGATCACGGCTGTGGTAAATGCCGCCAGGACAAGTGGCAACCCACATGCAGAAGACTGAGACTGGGCCCAAATCTGTCACCAGGTATTAAGGTAGAATGAAAATAGGGCAGAGAGCTACAGTTCTCAACAGAAATACTTAGGGTTGGGGGTGTAGCCTAGCGGCACAAGCACCTGCCTGGTAAGGCCAAGGTCCTGAGTTCAATTGCCTCTACAAATAATGAATAAGTAAGTAAAACAGAAATAAATTAATGTGTTGGAAATTCAAATAGGTAAAACAAATACTTGGGAAATTATAGCCATAGGTAGAGTTTCGGAGCAGAATACAGCTTGCACAGGAAATAGAATTAGAGAAGGGAAACCGAGCTAGAGAAGGGAAATACAACTAACGAATGGGAACGCGTCAATATGCAAAACACTTCTGCGCACGATAGAAACAACCAACAGAGTGAAAAGACAACTGAAAGAATGGGAAAAGGGGGGCTGGTGAGATGGCTCAGTGGTCTGAAGCACCTACTTAGAACAAGCTTTAAGCACAGGGACCGCGGTTCAATCCCCTAGCACCACATGCCAGCCAGCCCCGCCCCCTGGTGGGCTGAGCTGGCCACACACACACACACACACACACACACAAATAAATAAAGGTGTTTGTCGGCTATGCACCAGATGGAAGACTAATACCTAGTATTATAAAAATTCAAAGGAAAAAAAAAAAAAAAAAGATGCCCCAGTCAAAAGTGGGCAGCAATGGGCCAGGGAGATGGCTCAGTAGAATAAGCAAGGCCCTCCCTGGGTTCCATTTCTAGCACTGCAAGACCCAACCACAGCGCTTTGCTACTTGGCTTCTTCTGAAAAGTAGGACTGGCAACTTGCCGATAGTACGAGCTACCTCCTGCGCTCTCTTTGGCGCTTATGATCAGCACCAAAGCATTCGATATGCTTCTGGGAATACGTGAGAACATCCCTGTGGAAATTCAGGGATGGGCAGAAGGTTCAGAGGTGGTGGAGACTGTGCCAATTACAGGACAGAAAGCCATAGGAATCTTAAAATGGCCAAAGTGCACCACTCTTGCCTCCTCAAGAGCTTAGAGCAAGACGCTGATGTGCACTGAAAACAGAAGTGATCTGCCCTGGACTCTCATGAGGAAGCAGCGTGCAGGGCAGGCTCAAAGCACCTTTTACAATAGAGCTGATTTTGTTGCTGTCTTTTCAGTGTCATACACATCGCAACTTTGCCTTCTGTTACGGTAGAAGCAAGTCATGCTCAGGAAGAAAAACCCACGCATGATGAGAGACAGTAAAATAGATACTTCAACTCTGAGGATGCGCATTCAGTTTTAATGCTAACAGCTAATAATCCTGACATTCAAATTTCATTTGTACTCCTATAAAAATATGTTTTCCTTACAGGGGACAGGATCTTTTCTTAGTGCCAGTTTTGCCATATGAGCTCAGTAAAATGCATCCTCCAAAGCTCGTTGATTCTGCAAGAGGTGTTGGAAATTGGGGGCTGAAAACTCCCCTCTACGAGGAAGAAAGATTCCGGTGCATACAAGGAGCAGGAGAAGTACCGCCTGCTCTCGCCCAGCTCCCACTGGGATCAATATTTAATCTTTTCTGCTTTCTAACTCTGATCCAGCTAGTCGAGTAATTGAGGCCGTGACGTGCCAACCCACGCCTGCTTGCTTCTCTTGTTCTTTTTCCACTCGATATTACTTTCAGAAGGGTTAGATTTTTTTTTTTTTTGTAAGATACAGTAAATGATTTTGCATGCGCACATTGCATTTAGGAACCAAGTAGGGGAGAAAAAGGACGCTTTAGTTAGCCCTGACATGGTGCCCGCATTCCACCATCTGCATTTCTTCGTGCTTCTCAAAGCTCCATCCTCTTTGCGGACCATGGCCGTCAAAAGCCTGTTTGCTTTCTGCAGCAGTGAGCACGCAAGCCCTCGCTCTGCCTTGCTGCGTTCCCCTGGTTAATCGATTAGAGCTTTCTCTGTGCTTTAGGCTGAATTTAGCACAGTCCAGATCTGGGTTTTGCAGACAGGTTTTGAATGCAAGGGCTTTCGGTGTGATCAAGTTCCAAGTGACACCTGCAGCATAGGTGTGCGGAAGCGAGACAGGCACGCAGAAGCAGAGCTGAAGGCA